TCGAATTGTACCCAGAACTATTCCCTCGTCAACCGTTGTTTGTAGGAGGCAGCCGGTGAGACTTCAGCTCGCTGGGCTGTCTCCGGTTTCCAGCGTGACAGAGTGCAGACAGATCCATTGCAGTTCAAGGTTTCACATTTCTCCAACATGTGCGTTGCTTGGTCTGCATCTTTGAAGACCACGATCATCATGGTTCTACGGAACTTCTGCCGAGGCCTAGCAGGGAGAACTTGTCAACTTCTGTTTTGATGTTCTCGTGTTCCTGGATGGTTTTCACCATCCATTTCCTTTTCTCGATGGGGGAGAGTCTTGCACTGGCGTTGGAGAAGGAGAAGATGAGTGCGTGCTTCTCGTATGTCGCATTGGTGTCGGCGATCTTGTCTTTTGGGTACGCCCAAGCGGTCACCTCCTCATCGTTATTGTCCTTAACGTTTCTGACCTTGATTGTGACTTTCTCTCCTTTAATTTTTGGGGCTTCCAACAGGAAACGAAGTGTCTCATGATCCATGTTGGATACGATTTGGGATGGGTCCTTTGAGGTGGCTGTTTTTGTTGCTGCTACCGTGCTGTAGCGGCATTGGTAGTTTTGGGCCATGCTTGTTGTTGTTCGTTTTGTCTTTTTTTAACGATTGCTTTTGCTCTTTTTGCAATGTATTTGTGTTTCGTCGGTTTGATTGTTGTTTGTTTGTTGGGGTGTTCGGTTTCTGGGTTGCTGTTTGAGGGGCGCAACTGATCGGGAGGGGGTGTGAGAATTATTATTATTATTTTTTTTCAGTTAAATCAGACGCTGCTGTTCGCAGATTGCCTACGTGGAAATTGGGCTGTCTGCCTGGGCGTATACGGGTATGCCCAGCGCAGGAATCGGGTTATGTTCGCGGAGGTTGGTGGCGGGGGGGAATATTGGGGGGTTGAGGGATTACAGTTGGAATTTACAGGTGTGTTGCGTGGTGATCACGCGTTGATGCATGGGCGTCTGGAAGGGGGGGATTCGTTTTGGGATGGTGAGCGGAGACGGGGTCTGGGTCGCTAGGGCTTGCCGGACATGGGAGATCGGTCGGGCCTCACTGCTGGAGCGTTGTCAGGGGTTAGAGGATGGGGGGGTGGAATTTGTGCTGTCGTAGGGTGGCTAAGGTTCGGGGGAGTAGTTG